GTCCTTCCCTCCTCATCAAGCGAATCCGAAGGTGGGAGTTCGGACTCTGAGGGCTCACAAGGAGATGAATCTCCTCTACGAGGCAACACACCCCCTCGGTCCCCAACCCCGGAGATGGAACTTCACCAATCCCCAGTTCCTTCCCCTCCACCCACAATACCTATTTCCATTCCCACCATAAACCCTACTATACCACCAACCTCATTCCCTATACCACCACCCATATTCACCACATCAACCGAAACACCACCTGTAACCGAAACCCCTCCCGTAACCGAACCTCCACAAACCGAAACTCATATACCACCACCACCCGAAACTAACCCCCCACCCACTCAACCTGAACCAACCAAACCCACAACACCCCCAGCTTCACCACCACCTCAATCTCCAGAAGCCGCCTCCGATGGCGATGATCAATACCTTGGTGGTGATCACATGAACTTTGATTCGGTCTACTATAGTCCGTTTCAAGTTCAGAGTGATGAGGAGGATGATGCTCCAGTGACAAAGAAGCATCTCCGCGATCTTAACGAGAAGGTTGATCAACTTCTCGCCTCCTCCTCCAACCAGCAGTCATCCTTATCTGAAGCTGCCCTTCAGAAGATAGTTGATGCCTTCTCTAGGGCTCAACATGACTCAGTGGCCTCAGCTACTGCTGCGATAGACGCCTCCACCCGAGCCTGTGAGGCTGCGACCGAAAAAGTCGATAAACTATTCTCCGACGCTTCTGACCCGCTGAAGTCTCTGCAGGAAAGCGCCAATGCCACAAAGACAACTCTGGAACCGATTGTTCAGAAATTGGCCAAGTTCGTCTCGACGGAGTTGACTTCGTTCGCTACCCTCCGACAAAATATCAGCGACGACAACTCGGCACTCCGTGCCTCCATCGATGCCCGTCTGGCAAAACTACAAGAGGATCTTGCGGCAGAGAACTCTCTGATGGACGTTCTGGAAAGTAAAACAACTGCCCTAAAGGTCAAGAGCACGCAGCTTTCCAACTCCGAACAACAATTGGAAGCTCTTCGATCCGAGAGGGAAGTCATCAAGACGTGTGTTTCGGATGTCCTCGCGGCTCTATCCAACATCCTGGAAGCACACGACCCCATCCTTAATCATTCGGTGAGGCGCACCGTCGCTGAAAAGCTCTCCCCGGCCATGGACCTCTTAAGCAAAATTGAAGGCCTTCCGAGTTTCGTGTCCATTCCGAAACAAGGGGGAGAAGAGAAGAAAGGATCGAAACCACCTCCGTCCTCCAAAGCTACTCACACAACCGAACCACCCCCAACTGGTCATGCCTCGGGTTCGGGTGTGAAGGACAAGGGCAAACACATAGCAGAGGATGGAGATGAAGATGAAGATGAAGACAAGGAGACCATTGCGGACATGTTAAAAAGAAAGAACAGTCGCAATGCTGAAGACGATGCCAGTCGTGTGGCGCGTGAGGCTGAAGAAGCTGAACGAAAGCAAAAAGAAGCCCACGATCTCCTTGAGAGCCGAAAGTTGCTCTTCCCTGCCTGGACCAGGGATCATTTGATAAAAGAGGCCATAGAGACTCCAAGCATACTATGGCTCGAGCCGGTGATATCGTTCGACTGCAACAACACCATCGATTCGCAGTTCGATATGCCACTCACTCGAAAGGCGTTCATCTTCCACGCCTTCTCCAACATCTTTGAAGTCCCGCATCCGAACGATGAGCTTGATAGGGAGCTCATTGACTTCTACCTGGAGGCCGCTCGCCCTCAATACCTTACATGGAGCGCCCAGAAGATTGTCAATGTTCGGGTGATGAAGCCTTATGCCGTGGGGAGATTCACAAACGTCAAGTTCAAGCTTATCCGAGGATCTGCAAGAACTGCTCACATGATCTCTCTGGCGGATCTGCCCAATCTGAACCCTCATGATTGGATAGTCTTGTACAACATCCTGCTGACAAATGAATCTGAATATGGTCCCATCTTAGACCATGTCAAAAGGATGCTGGCATGCTATATCATGGAGGTGGCCCTAATGGATCAGGAGGTTGCCACAGTTTTTAAGAAGAAACCGAAAGTCAAACCTGTGGGATCGGCCAGTGATCTGAATCAAATGCAAATGGGCAAGATAGATTCGAGGCGAAACTCTGTGATGTTCACTAGAGCCGAAGGACAGAAATGTCTCTTCGCTTTAGCTGACAAACATCTTTACACTACAACTTGCTTGGAGCACATCTTATTCATCATCAAGCAGTGTAAAGACAATTCGGCTGATGATATCAAGTACTTCAATGATATGATCAATTGGTACATCCGGTTTAGACAGACCATCCTTTCCATAACCAAGTGTCTGTTTAGTACCGTGAAGAAGAAGGTACCAGCTTCAGCCGCCGGCCCAAGTAGGAAGTGAAAGTCTCGCTCCAAATTGACGCAAAGGGGGAGATTGTTGGGCTGAAAAGAGTTTTGATGTTGCGTCTTTTGGGCTCGTTAGATTAGCCTTTTATTCTCCGGTTTGGGCCTGTCCAACCGAGAGCCTTTTATGTATTGTATATAAGTTAAATGCTTGCATGCATATTAGGTTAAGATTCGAGAGATTATCGAAATAGCGATTGATCAAGAGCACTAATAATTTTTCTGTAATCGTTCTTGTAATCTTCTAATCCTTTACAGTTGATGTTCTTAATCGAGCTCTTCTAAGGATTTTATTTAATCATTCGACACGTTTGATTCAAGCTGTTTGTTCTTATTATTGCGTTTTTACTGTTTTAAATTCATATACTTGTTCAAGATCTAATCGATCTTCTTAGATTAAAAGTTGTTTTTAATCCCATCAGTGAAAGTCCGTTGGAACGCTAAGCGAGGACCTGAATTCACATGGGAACGTGAAGATCAGATGAAACAAAAGTACCCACATCTTTTTCTCTGATTCACTTGTATCTTTCTTACTTTAAATTTTGGGACGAAATTTCCTCTAACAGGGGGATGATGTGACAATCTGATATTTCAACTCTATGTAAACGACCTAAAAAGTCAAGTATTGTAACCACGTTCGTTATAATGAAATCAACTTCGAAAATAAAATATCCAAAAATCACTAATTAATTTACCTATTATGTTAGATGTCATTAAACCGTGATCGTACGTAAAAAGAACGCCCAAATCTGACTTCGTATAAGGAAGTTATGAAGTTTCCAAGTTCGGCTTAGCAACGGACAGCTAAAAACTCGAAACAGACGTCAGATAATGAAGTTATGAATTTCTAATGAAATTTTCTTACCACGACCTTTTAAAAATAAATAATAAAAATAATTTCAAAATTTGCCGACGGAATCTAAACGAAAGTTGTAGAGTATGGTCTCACCTACGCGTGGATATAGAGAACGTCGAAAACGGAGTTCGTATGAAGAAGATATGAATTTTTGAAGTTTATTAAATATTAAATATATAAATTTTAATGGAAATTTCGGTATTATCCGAAGGCTGAGCCACACACACGTACGCCTAGCGTACTCAAGGCATAGGCCTCGGATCGTCCACGTCGCGCCCTATGCGAGGCTATGCCCCATTCCATCCGGAGTCCGAAGCAGTCGAGGATGCGCTCATGCGTGACGCACGCGTACGCCTAGCGTACTCGTGTACGCCCCGCGTACGGAGGCCGTTCCCACCCCCTATAAAAGGAATGCGAGGGTTCCGAAGAAAAGAGCCATTTCCTCTCATCTCTCTTGTGTTTTTGCCTCGTTTTCCGTGCCCGTGCTATCCTGAAGTCCCGGTTACCATGCTCAAGTCCCGAGGGTCGTTTGTGCTCCCGAGAATCCCGAGAAAATCCGCTTTCTCGAGTCGAAATTTTGTCCGGTTTTCATCTCGCCTTCTCTGATCTTTCAAGTGAGTTCATACCCCTGTAATTCACACTTTTAAATGTTTTATAAATAGTTTTATATGCTTTTAGGGGGGGAATACAAGTAAAACACTCGATTATTATCGTGTGTTATATAAAGTTTCATTATACGAGTTTTATCAACGGAATCATATGTGATTTATAACTATTATAGGGAAAACTTTCGTATGCAAATTTAGCCACAATAAAATCTTATCTTTTAAAATAAGAAATGATTTATGTATTTATGTAAATCAAACACTCTGTTTATACTACAAGTATATGTGTCCAGTTTTGGCACTACAAAAATTATACTTTTCATAACAAGTGAGCATTTTCACTAGGGATTACTATACAAATGAAATGCACTTTTAGAAAACTATAATAGGTATAGTTTTACGAGAATACTACGAACTTTTACATACTGGAAATACTATGTCAAGAAGTTACTTTCATATACAAGAACAAACGAACATTTTCACACGTAAATCTGTTTTATACTAAGTTTTGTGAGACATTAAACTTCACGTACGCTCGAGTACACATTTCAAGTCCTGTATTATATACCAGAATCCCTTGGAGGGGGAGCATGGTGTTTGTGTATAGATCTATACGGGATTGACAACCCCGCACCCTGACTGTTAGCTACAGTACACCATTTGGGGTGACAAACGTCAGAACATTCCAACGCCTGAAGAACGTTGTGTATAGGCATTCCTTGTCAATAACATGGTTATAAAACTCACATAAAGTATTTAAAACACATTGATTTACGGGGTTTTTCAGACGTATTGGAGGTTTTATACATACATAAATTTATTTACCTTATGCATGAACAACCTAATTGTGACATAAGTTTGGAACTTCTAAACCACTACTCATAGATAGGAAAACATCAACTTTTTATAAACATTGGTCTTGATGTAACGCTACATTTATACCAGTAGGAAATATGGGATTTTCTAGAAACTAACAAACAAAAACAAACCATTTCATTTTCATACAAATACAATCATTAAATGCTTATGAAACTCACCAGCTTAAATGTTGATCTACTCTTTCAAAACTACTTGTATGTCCTAGGGGCTCAGTAGGTTCGAACTTTCTGCATCCCTGTGCACATATCCTATATGGACAAAAAATTTAGTATGGGTAAAGGATTGCTGACTTCCGAAGCTCAAGGTAACACTTCGATTATTCCTACTTCATCTTTCGAAACACCTGGTGTTGATACCACAATGTCTTTACCACCGTTTCTTATTCCTACTTCATCTGAATTACCTTCATCAACTCACTCACCTACCTTCAATAATATAATACACCAACCCATTACTTCTCTTTTTCATTCTGAATCCACTAACCCTAAAATCGTTAATGATGATGCCACCACTAATGATGGTGAGTTTACTGGTACCTTTGTTGATCTTGAGTTTGATCTAGAGGAAGAGAATATACCCGATCACATGTTGATGATTGGGAAGAAATTTAGAATTCTGAATAGGAAGATTAATTCTTTTCTACATTTATAAGCTAATGCAGGGGGAAAACATTTAGTTTCTGGCCTAGAGGTGGATGTGATGCTGAAAGCCCATGAGCATCGTATTCAGGATAAACTTGATGTAGAATCTAAGAATCGAGTTTGAATATTAATCAGAGTTTGAAATCAGAAATGTATGTAAGATTGAGCACCATTGTAAATAAGATCTTGATTCAACTCAATATTACGCTTTAGGTTTACAGAGTGCAAAAGTAGACAAGATTGTAAAAACCTTATCTAACTCTAGTAAAGACTGCTATTTGTAGGAGAATAAAAGCATACAAAAAATATACTAAGGACTAGACACCTAAGCTTGGAATAATATGCCTTAGCAAAATAGATAACAGAACATACGAAGAGTACATATAAGACTTCGACTCTTTACAACCAAACTACCCTTACATTCTCCCCCTTTGTAAACAGAGTTGAAGACTTCAGTTTGTAAGCAGTTGAATGGAATACAACATTACTCTTCGTATCTCAGTATACCAAGAGATAGTTTTCTTCAGTTCCTTATTGTCTCCTTCATTATTCTTCTTGCAATGATTCATACGAACAATCAAGTTCACACATTGCGAAGTAGAATATCTTTCAAATTCACTCGCCTAAAACAAAAATCTTTTTGACTTTCCTGATTTGTCCTTCCCAGAGACGACTAAGCCAAAAGGCTTCAAGCATATTTCACCATCTACATATTTATTTAAGTTTTCTTGAGTCTTCGAAGGAGCCATAGGTTCTGTAATTTCCAGACCTTTAGCTGTAGCCAACTCCACATCAGTCATTGCTAAATATTCATAATAATTTTTGATCAAAATCTTGATGTGAGTAACTCCCAGCTTGTACTCATCAGGCTCTGTGTTTTAAAGATATGAAAATGATCTTTCCTTCAGCAGTAATGCAATTTGTATAAGATCATATAAGTTCATCAAAGGAAAGTCAGCAATTGTAAACTCACACACATTGCCATTTGCCCTGGTCACAATATACTTCATGTTTTGGACTATGTTTTCGAAAACCACATCCTTCTTTATACTTATGACCTTTTTAATCTTGATCAAGGACCATACTTCTTCTGCAGGCCTGGAAAAAACCGCATGAAATCTTATCTTCATTTGAGTACCTTCATCCTTCTCCTTGAATTTACTTTCTGCTTTAAATTGAGGCATGATGAACATCATTTCGTTAATTGGAAAGTCCAATTGACTTGCATCCGTATTCGTGAAAATATAACTCTGTTTAGGCTTCTTCTCAAACGAATACATGTGATTGAATGCAACTTTGGCTTCAATTGTTTCATAATTGTAGTTCTTTGATGGATCACCCTTGTTCATGCCCAGGAGGATCACTAGTCCTTTGTGTCATGATGCTTTTAATCATCCTCATCTTTTCCACTTCTGCCTCTGCCTCTACCTTCTTCTCTTCTTTGGATTTTTCAATTAGTATTGACTTTCCCCTTGCCTTCAAAACAGATTCCTATATCACTTCTTTTGCTTTCGTATCACTTTTACCAGTGTCAATAGATTTACCAATCACAATTCCTCAAAATTGGTCTTGTGATTGGCATAGTTGTAACTATTGTTGAAGAGATGGAACCAACTGTTGCTATCATTGGTTTTGATGTTGGGATTTTAGAAGGAAACACCTTTCCCACTACCTTCGCATCTTCACCTCCAGCATTCGAACCTTCGATTTTCTTTTCTCCCCCTTGCACCCATGTACTAGCAGGTAGGGCATCCATTGTGGGAAGAAGGCTAGATATTCTTGAAAGAGGAGCCAGCTGTTGAAGAAGTAAGGCTTCGAGTCGGGAAAATTTCATGATAAGATCTTCAGAGGAGAGAAGAGAAGACAAAGCAGGTGCAGAAGATAAGGTTTTAAGGTCCTTTAACAACGTGAAAACCTCCACAAAATTCTTGTTTTCTGATGTAGAAAGTTGAGCAATTTGAGGACTCAGACTTTCGTACAACTTCACAAATTTAGTAACCGCATCACAAATGATATCCACCTTTTGATTGAGAGATGCAAACTCAGTACGAACATTTGCAATCTTTTTCTCCATATCTTGTCTAAGTTCTTGGAGTTTATAGCTCACATCCTCTCTAACTTTCTTCACGTCTTCAATAAACAAAACATGTCTCTCCTTTGCAACCATCTTTAATTCCTTCAGATCACCTTTAAAAGTAGATTTTTGAGCATTGACCCTCATCTCATTATTCTGATCACAAAGATCAATTTTCTCCAGAAGACGAGACTTAGAATCCTTTATCATTCCGGACACTTTCGAAGAAATCCTCCCTTCAACCATCTTTAGCATACCATCCATTTCGAGACTGGTCACTAAATTTCCTCCCCTAAGATCAACCTGAGACTGAAGAATTGAATTGAGTTTTGTATTCAATATCTTGAACTGTTTCATTGTCATGAGCATGTGATCTGGGAAGTCAGTCTCTTCTTCATCAAACTCTAGATTTTCAAAGGTTCCTCCAAAACCTGCGGACACATGTTTAGTTTCCATGAAAGAAGAATCTTGTATTGGTGAAGTGGTGGTAGGTGGATCAGTTGATTGTGAAGAAAAAAGAGATGTGAATGGTTGTTTGATGATGTTTTCAAAGGTAGGAGAATCAGTTATGGATGTAGTAAGAATGATAGGTGTAAGCTATGAAGGTAAAGAAACAATTGTATCTGGGGTAACATCCGAAGGTTTACCTTTGTCTTTGATATGCGAATCATCCTCACCCATTGTGACACTTGCATCCATATTAGATATGTTTACAAAAATGTCAGAAGTTCGTGCCTCTACAGAAACTGTCTTGGCAATCGAAACTTCGGGTGGTATTACATCAGTTGATGCAATATGAGAAGAATCTCTCTGAAGATCAGCTTCCGGTGTTTCTGGAATTGTTTCATTTTCATCAGCGGTAGACTCTGATGAAATAATCACCCTACTCTTCTTCTTCTTCTTCGATATTTGTTTGGCCATATCAGTTGCCCTTCTCTTCTTAGAAGATTTGAAGCAAGGGTAGGAATCTCACAAAAAATAACTCCTTGATGTGAAACATGTGGTTTGCAAACAACATTCGTTAGAGGTGATCGACTCTTATGCTTTGACTTCATCTTGATTTTTCGAAAAACACCAGTCTTCGAAGGAATAATTTCCTTTTGAGTGGATGGGGTATCAGCAACAACAACTTCAGGTTGGATTGGCTCGGCTTCTGTAATTGGTACTTTCTTCGGATTCTTTGATGATTTAGATTCTTTGACAGATTTTTCAGAAGATTCAGCAGCAACCTTCTTCTAATGTTTAGTCTTCATTTCTTCTTCTCTAGCCAAATGAACCCCATTTTCAACAGAAGTATCAATTGTTTGTAAGTAAGTAATTAGAACTGTGTTTGTGGGATCAACTCTTTTCAGTATAACATCAGGAATGCGAGCAACTATTGGAAATTCGTTAGTATCGTCAGTTGCATCATTCGGACAACTATAAACATGAAACACAACCTTTTCTTCATCTGCAGGAACCAAAATCCCTTCCTTCTAATAAAAATATTGCGAAATCAAACTCCAATATCGAGCACATGAAATTCCATGAAGAGCATTCATGTTCTCTATACTCTTCAAAAACTCTTTCCATAATTGAGTAGAGTAATCAACTTAAAGATCGTAGTATAAACATGCAACCATCGCTTAAACTTCCATCCGCCCCTTATCCAACCCAACAGTTCTTCCAGTTAGAAATCTGAGAAAAATACCGAACAAAAAATTCCAAACACTCAGAAGTCGTGACTTCTAGAAATCACTTATCTTTGTCAACTGTTGTTGATGACCCTTTTCATTAAACATGTGAACAATTTGTGGGAATCTAAAAGTAACATATGGAAAAGAATTAGGTATATCGAGAATTTGGCAGAAAAAGCTTCTTTGAAAGTCTAACCTTCTTATCAGTCACAAGATTAAACAACACTGCATCCAAAGCTTTAGAGTAAGTAGCTGTTGATCCAGCTTGAGACATCCATGAAAGAGGAACAGAGAATGAGTTGAACATGGCTTTTGATAATACGGAGATTTTCAGGGCAACAATGAGCATTTTTAGTTTTTCAAGATATAGAGAGACGTTTGCTTCAACTTGGTAATCTGTGCCTTGAATCTTCATGATCGGCAATGAGGTTACATCATTGGTGGTGTGAGAAGAAGTTGCATCAGGATTAGCAGTCGCCATTGTTAGGGTTTGAGAGTTGGATGTTTATCAGAGTAAATTTAGGAATATGAAAGCGTAAACTAATAATGAACCCTTGAATCCCCTTTTATATGTAACGCTGAATTTTGAAATCAAAGCGGGATAAGCATTTAATGATCTGTGACGTGTTACCGAGAAAACCGCGTCATGATGATGAAAAAGTAACCATGCGTGATAAAGCAACTGTCACATCTCCTCAAAATCCGCACATAATTCAAACAGTCCCCTCAAATAGGCTAGATTGTTTGCCCCAATAGAATAGTAAACGTCAGAACCCTTCGGGTGGATGCAAGGCTCTTTTACTTTATGGTTTCAAAGTAAAGTCATTTTCCAGATTGTTGAAATCATCAGCTTGAGTTGGTATTACATAGAACCTCAAGGATTTCGTGTGTGTCAAGTGTGAAAGAATGAAGATGAGAAGCAATGAATTTTTTTTTTGGATATTCAGTGATGTCAAAAATTAAATTTGACATGAAGGCAGATAAAACCCCGGGCAAAGATTGTTTCGTTAATTATCAAGGGAGATAATCAACAGGTTGTGTATTTTCCCGTGAATTACAATCGAATACTTGTAAATAAGTATGGAATGGCTTCTTTTAAAAGGCTTTTGAGGTGGTTTAATGAATTTCGTTACATATCAACCTAAACATAAGGTGGGTAATTGTAACAGAAATTACTTGTTAGACCAGTGTAGTCAGTGACAAGTTTGCTTTGAAAAACTTTTAAGTAACATGGTATTTTAGATAAAACTCACACTGAAA